AGAATCTACTTGTGAGGGCAAAATAAGTGGATGCAGCTGCAGTTCTCTTCCTTGGGAGTTGCCCCTCGTACACAACTGACTGCAGGTGGCTGAGAGCTGATATTTAAAAAGGACAAGCTTTAACTTTTTGGGTTTGTTTTTTGTGGGTTTTTCTTTATTTATTTTTTATTATTTGTTTGGTTTGTTGTTTGTTTTTTTCTAATTGATGAATCTGACAAAATTCATTGATGTGCTCTCTCTGATAGCTGCCCAGGGCCTTTAACCCATCATACTCTAAGACAGAGGAACTGACATGGATGGAACTGTCTTAGAAAACAGATTACCAGATTGTAAGTGAAACATTAACTCTCATGTTGTATCAAGTGGCAGAAAGATAAAACTGAAAATGTGACCCCTTTTTTCTTCAAATAATACAGTGTCATTCAATAGATTTAATTATCCCTAAAGACACATCTAATAATTGTTGGCCTGTCAATCAAAACTCCTATTAGACATGCACATGACGTCATATCACAGTCTAACAAATCTTCCTGCCAGTCAAAAACCTTTATATAGATTAATCTGATTTCAGAGGCAAATTTTCTGTTTGACCTTTTACCCAGCTTCTTTAGAGCTGAAATTGGAGAGGAGCTGAGTGTGTGCTGCTCAGCTGGGATGATGGGCTCTCGGCTGTTCCTAATTGTTTCCCTCCTGGCCATGCTCTGCTTTGTGCTACAGTATGGAGCATAGAAAGGGGCTCTGCCTTGGATGGCTGAGTAACCTGGGGTGGGTCTGCATAGCTACAGGAGAGCTCTTCACCCTCTTCTTCTGGCCTATCTGTACCACAGTGTTAATTTCCTGGCTGCTTGGGATATCACAAAAACATGCTTCACTGAGATACCTGTGCTGCTTTTTGAGATGATACAGTCCATCCCCTGCACACTGTGTACACCTGCTGTGCTGCTGTGGCCATGCAGCCATGGCAGTGATTGCTGTGCTGGGGAGACCCCGGAGCCTTTGTACCAGGAGGGAATACCTGCCTTGCTAAGTGAAAAGCGTGTGTGCCTGAGCAGAGCAGGCACTGTATTGACAGTGCAGGGAGTTTGCCATCCTGTGTGTCAGGGTGCCAAGGGTGAGAAGCAAATGCACTAATAATTACCGGGATTTGAAAGGCAGCTCCATTCAGAATTCTCAGACCAAACAGCACGTCAAACTGCTGTACTGCACACTGCTCAGTGTGCCATGCTGAGCAGCTCTGGGCTGTCACACGTATGATATACGCTGCTCTCTCTCTGCCTGCCCAGCTGTTGTGACAGACTTTGGAGATGCTCGATTTCCTATGCCAGCAAGCTCAGGTTAATGCAGGTATTGCATGTATTCAAGGTATCTCTGCAAGTGCATCGCCACATTCATAGCTGTAATAATAAAACTGTCACTGTCAATAGCTTTCAATTCTTTCTCATATGGCATTTGGTGGAAAACAATTCATGACATGTCTGGTTGCTGGAAAGATCACCTGTCCTGCTGGCATCTCTTACTGTCACTTCTCTCCCCATTCCCACAAGCCCAGGCAACTCTGTTTCTCACCTTTACAAGGAGGAACTGACATTGTAAGATGATGATTACCCCATTGTGCTTGACACTGTCTACACTGCTGTAGAGTCAAAAAGGTTGTGCCTTCCTAGTGGACCTGGCTGGTGAGTCAGAGCATGGAGAGACTGCCCCATTGCATAGCACTTGTCATGACAGTGGTGTCATGTGAGGCTCTTTGACATCTGTAGTGGGATACCAGATCTGAAGAGGTTATAAATTTATTTACTGATAGTGCATCAAGCTTCCTGTACCCATTTGTACTGGCACTTCAAGTATCTTTTGAACTGAAATAAAAGCAAATGGCAGAGGCTGATGCTTTCAAGATAATATTATTTGTCTCTGAAAATCTGCTTTTTAGATGTCAGGCAAAATAATTTTACAATAGCTAGTAAAGATCTTGGCTGGCATCGCTGTATTTTTATTGGTCTTGAACGTAACTTGAAAATATTAAGACCTTATTGTAGTGTTCAATTTTCTATCAATTTTTCAGACAGTCTGATAACACAAATTATAAAAATGCATGTAATTAGACATCATTGCTAAAGCTGAGAGACTGTGGAGAAAGCCAAACAGCAAGCTTCCTCTGCATGTGAACATCAAAGTGCTTTCTAGATTTATGAACTACAGGCAAACTCAAAGTCAGCAGGA